GATTGTGAGTCCTGCTTTTATCTGAGCCTATTCAATGTTTTATAGAAAATTTCTTCATCCATTTTCTCATAAGACTTGGACTACTGAAGACCGGTGCACAGAACATGGTGGATTACCAGGCACTGAACCTTAGAATAGGGTGCTGTTGCCTTCACAACCTGCAAGATGTATATGTCCTGTGAGCATGTGTGAAGCTGCTAGGACTGAGCCCTGGACAGTAAATGGCCTGGTGGGAGTTATGAAAAGGCTTTAGGTTATAGCAGGCTAAATGGGTTATATTGTGTAAGGCTAACATGAATCAAGAGCATGTATATGAATGCTTACCTTTTATTTCTAATGATCAAGTAAATCTATTATGCTGAGGCATTTAAATTGTAATCATTCAAATTGTATTTCTACTGAATTTTATTTGTACCTGTATTTTTGCTCTGAAGGTGCAATGGCAGTGTACTTCAGTTATTTGTAACAACCTTTAATAAGAGGATAAACATCGCATTGTGTTCATTGTTCTTCCTCTCTCAGCAATAGACACTTAACATCATGTAATTCATACTTGAATTTTTATTTTAACAAGCCACCCCAAAATAAGCATGGTAACATAGTACTTCAGGTAATGTCACTGGCTAGTAGAGTGATCTTTGCAGAGAGCTCGTCTACATTCCAGATTTATGTCTCTAATGATAACCTTCTACTTGACAGTTTTCTCCTTTTAGTTTATGACACTCATTTTTATCCATTTGGTAAAGGTGATTTTCCTTATCCATTTTAGTTCTTCACATTAAACCCTACTCTCATTTTCCATCCAGAACTTTCTTGGCCTTCCTGTAGCAGTACTGTTTGATATTTATATAAGTTTCCCAGCACTGTCATGACAAAGTACCACAAATTGAGTGTTTTCAAACAACATAAATTTACTATGTATTTTCTGTGTTCAAATTTTTCTCTTCTTATAAAAATATCAGCCATTCGTTCAGGACTTACTCTGAACCAGCACACTTCACTTTGACTTTCCTACTTCTACAAAGACCCTGTTTCCAAATAAGGTCATATGGACAGGTACTTGGGATTAGGACTTGGATGGGGTCAGAATTCAACTCAGCACACTCTGATCCTGAGCTCTCCAAATGTGTGTCCTTTCTGTGGGTAAAATTTATTCCTTTCGCCTCACTATTCCACAGATTTTTCACCCATTCCAGCATTACCTTGAAATCCAAAAATTATTTAAATGTCAATTCAAAAATCCCCATCTCTCATCACCTGAGTCAGGTCTGTAGCAGACTGTAGATATGATCCATCCTGGGGTTAAGTTCACCATCTACAGGACCTGAATGTGCAAAAAAGTATTTTCCCCCAAAATATAATAGTGATGCAGATATGAGATGGAATCCTTATTCTAAACTAGAGATAATGGAAATAATGAAAGAATATCTACAGTAAGTTCACAGCCCAGCAGGGATAGATTTATTACATTTTAGGGCCTACAAAATTATGACTTTTCCCATTATGGAATGAATGCAGTAACTTACTGGCTCTGGTAGAGTAGCTGTAACACTCTTAGCAGTTTTCATAGTCACTTTCTTATTTTTGTTCTCACTAGTGTTTCTTCTCAAGTTTAAATTCCTGTTATGTCTCCTGTGAATTCAATGACAGGCTCACAAAGCATCACTTTGACTTCAGTCAAAATTCTTTTGTCAACTGGACTCTTCTGTGACTGAGATAGATCTCTCTGGACGTAAATCACACTACTCATTCCTCAGCCAGAAACTTTTCAAGGGAGAGCAATGAGGTTGTTCAGGGTTAGATCCCTGTTTGCCTCAGTGTCTTCTTTTTCCAGAGGTGGTTCTTTTCTTTATCTGAAACTGCTGACCATCCTTCCAAGACCCCCTTGCACTTTACATATCATGTAATCCACTTCTGGCCTTCTTCCTGGAAGCTCTTTTTATGCCTATTAAGTTATTCTTGTTCTTTAAATTTTATTCATTTTGTTAAAAAGTTCCCAGGCAGGATGTCCATAAAAATAACTATTTATTAGTTAATCCATAGTAGTAACTTTATCAGTAGCTAGGTTCATGTCACACTATCCTATAATTATGATTTCCCTACTTATTCTTCCAATTAAACTGTAAGACATTTGTCAGAAAGATATAAATTATGATAGCATAAAACTTGTAATAAACATTTCAGTAAGACTGTTAGGTGCTTAGCATACCATCAGATCTTGTTTGTAATTTGAAAATGACAGTCCTGAATTAGCTAGTGACTTTTTATAGGGGATATTTAATTTACAAAATTAACCTCTCAGATGCAAATGTTATGTAACTGAATTTGTCATTTGTAGGTGAAGTTTATGTTGTAGTGCAAGTTGTAATTTTAAATGTTAATTGGAGTTTTAAATCATGTTGGGAAGAAATAATTTTATAGTTTCTGTAGAAAAGTACACAGGCATATTTAAAATGTTATCTTCATTCACTGTAACAAAATACTACTGTAAATGCCTACAGGGCAACGGTTTGCGATCCTCTTCTCTATAATGTACAATTTAAAATGCCATTTTTTTCTATTACTGGATGATAT